CTAGTGGACAATAATTACAGTAGTCTTTAATAAATAGTCCAATTAGCAGATACTAATGTAATGTTTTCTTTTGCAGCTCCGTAAAGCCATTATAGATCACATCTCAGACTCCTTCTTAGATACCACTGTTCCACTTTTAGTTCTCATTGAAGCTGCTAAAAATGGAAGAGATAAAGAAATAAAGGAATATGCTGCTATATTTCGAGAACATACCAGCAGGCTTGTGGAGGTATGTTTGATTGCACTTTTTTTGAATGTATGGTATAAGTGACTTGTCACTGCACATTTCCTTTGCTGGCAGATACTATAAAACAATTAAGCCTGACATTTCAGAAACAAATAAATTAAGGGCCTAGGGTAACAGTAAACATAGTACGTTTTTTTTATATAATGGCATGCAGTAAGATAGTGGGGTTTGTGGTGTCAGCATTTTTCTAGTATTTCATTGCATAGAAATTAGGTGGTGGGGAATTCTAATTTGAGAAATTAGTGTAAGCCTTTCACAAAGATATCGGGTGGGAACTTGATCAAATGTGTGATTCGAAGGAGCGTTAGCTCAAAGTGTTCAGAGTACTATTACTCCAAGTACGTAAGACACCGTATTAGTGTCAATTGTTTGCCAGCTTTCTCACTTTGAAAGTTTATAGCCTGTGTAATGATATGCTGAAGAGGAAAGGGTGCTCTGACACAGTTTAAAGCGATGAACCCTATAGCAGACCGAAAGCATGTTGGTGTATATGCTGAATACATTCCCTCGCGTACATTGTATACTCAGTATTCATTTCTAAAGAACAGACTTCTTTATTACTTATAAATGATAGTTCTTCATCACTTAGAAATTTGCAAATATAACTGGGGGGAGGTTTTAGTTTGTTGGACAATCAGTCCTGCAAATGTGACTAAATATTCACTGACAAACTCATGCAAACTGGAGCTTGAAACACTTCTGGAATACCGAAGTCGTGGATTTTGCAGGAATATTATCTCAAGTCCCTGTAAGGAATGCGTTGCTAATTTTAGGGGTTTTTTTTTAAGCTTTTAGTGCTTTTGTGTGCAGTAATGCAAAAATGGGAAAAATCAATGAATTCACTCTGTGGCTGAAAATTTACTTAGGAAAACTATTTGGCTCAGAATGAATTCATTAATCTTGGGTGATCTACAGAAAATGAAAGACAAATAGATAAATAGCTAAAGTAAAAGTAGAGTATTGCGTTTCTCTTCATGGTTATGTAGTTACAGAATAAAACTAATTGTTATTCTCTGATTTACAAGAGTGTCTCATTTTGACCGTGCTGCAAAATCAAATGAAAGCTAAAACACAAACCAAAAGTTTTTAAAGTTTTTCAGATTTTTAATACTGAAGTTAAACCAGCCTGAAGTGGCTCCATTTTTAGAAAGGACAGGTGATCTCTGAAGATCAGATAACTTAACTGAATTTGGAATTGAGTCCAGGTCCGCTGAAATACCTGAATCATTGTTCAATTTAGAAAATGCGAACCTAAAAATCCAGTATTCATTTCCTTTCATGGGTTTGAATTTGTTTCCCAAATGCAAGGAATAGCTGGGCATCGGGGTGGGTTTGTGATTAAAGGGGCTGATGGCTGCACAGATACACTGCCTAAAAAAATCTACAGGGACGTGTAGCAGCTGACTGTGAACGTAAGACTGCCCAGAAGGTAGCTATCCTTAGCAATGTAGGAAAAACTATAGCAAAGTTTTGCAATTCCAGCATAGTTACTACCTAGAAAGGAGAGCAGGGGAAAAAAAAAAGTCAGATGTCCTTTTTTCAGCATAGACATCACTAGTCCATATCACAGTGTCCCCTCTGCAAGGTGATAACCAGACTAGACAGCGATGCCTCACTTACAGAGATTTCCTTCATTCTCCTCACTGAATGATTAACTTCAGAACCCTCTGTTTTTACGTGAACTTACTACTTAAATGCTTTTAAGCAGAGCAGTCTATGAAGGAAAGTGTGTGTATAGTTCATGAATGTAAATACTAGTGGAGATTCATTTATCCAAATTCTTCTGAGGACATCAGACATATTTCTTTTACAAGCAAATTAGTAAAACATAAACAGATCATGTGAGGGGGTAAAAGCAAGAGTCTCGTGACTGTTGTATAAAAGGGGTTCTATTATATGGTAGACTGGTATTTGCTATATATGAAATATGCAGTGTATGTGTGAACATATTTATATTTATGCTGTCAGTTACTATGCTGCCTACAGTGAAGAAAACATACTTTAAAAAATGTTTTAAGTAGTGGGCTTTCAGTGAGACTGCACACAGTGCCACCTCCTATTGTTGAATTAGTTGTCCCAAATTGTCGCTTTACCAGTGCTTATATTGTGTGCTGCTATTGAAAATTAACATAAAATAAAATTGAAGTTATCTTCTGGATACCTACTAGAACTGAAGAAGAGGTAACGGGCACAAACTTAAACATAGGAAGATCCATCTAAACATGAGGAGGGACGACTTTACTTTGAGGGTGGCAGAGCACTGGCACAGGCTGCCCAGAGAGGTGGTGGAGTCTCCAACTTTGGAGACATTCAAAACCCACCTGGACACCGTCCTGTGCAACGTGCTGTAGGTGACCCTGCTCTGGCGGGGGGGTTGGACTACATGATCCCCAGAGGTCCTTTCCAACTCTGACCATTCTGTGATTCTGTGAAGTATCTTATTTAAAAGTTGCTTATATTGGTTTAATGCACTTACCGGTATGTCTAAGTGAGAGCTTGATTGACAGCTTTTTGATAAACTGTACTGCTAAACTCTCCCGCAAATTAATTAGATAGTAGTTGTACTGCATTCATCAACTGCTAGCCTATCAGACACAAACCAAAGCAAAAATGAAAAAATATGAACAGCTGAGCAAGTGGCCGCAAAGGGGCTCTATACATACAAACAGAGTTATCTGATTTTTAAGAAAAATGTGGTCATTTCCAACAGCATCATCAAAGAAAAAGAATTATGGCAGCTGTTTTGTGGAAACTGTAATACCAATTCCACTGATATAAATGGCATAGCATTTAAACACATTAGAGCTGTACATGGGAAGCATATTTTGGTTCTTAGTGGCCTAAAACCTGTTAAGCTGAGAAGACACATTTTTAAATTGACAGTAGTAGAGCACTGCACTGTTGCTTTAATTTGACAAGGAATACAACAGATAGATAGACTTAGATCTTACTAATCTTGGTTTTCACAAGCGTACATACTTGTACACACCTACTCCAGAAACTGAGAAGTGGCAAATATTTATGGAGCTCAGTTTCCAACTGAACATGGTGCCATGGGTAATGGATATGCCATAGAAATCAGGTATAGCTAAAAGTGCTATCAAAATGAGGGAGCCTGATTCTGCAAGAAGGGCAGTACAGATATAAAGGAGATGAGCTGGCTTTGAATCCTTGCTAGTTCTATTATCCATTTATTTATCAAAGAATTTACTTTTTCTTGGTGAAACGTCTAATGTCTAAGCATCACCTGTCCCCTTTGGGACAGCTGCCCAGCCTTTTGCCAGGGATATGTTTCATAACAAGGTGTTGTCTGCCATCTGTAAGATTTTGAGTTGGATGACAGGTCAATTCAAGATCCAACCCTGTACAACATTTCCAGAGTTTATGAGAAACTTGTCAAACATTTTTGTATTTTAACAGAAGGTTCTTAAATGACAGTTATGGTTTGCATGTTTGCAGGAGAGTCCTCGCATTCATTCCTGTGTTATTTATTTCCTTCACTGTTATAAAAGCCAACAAACAAATCCCCTTACAACTTTCAGGTTATGAAATATAAATCTGGAAAGCTAGTCATGTATGTTACTGCAGAACTGGGCTTGATCTCTGCAACTGAGAATAACTTAAGTATTGAAGTGCAAGATCATGGATGGCATATACTTGGCTATGTAATACTAACAGAGACAATAGTTGAAGGTAAAATATTTTAAAAGCTAAACAACTAAGAAAAAGTTGTTGCAAAAAATGGCATATGACCGTAACTGTACTAGAGAAGGCTGGTAGGTGAGGTGGATGAGACGTCAGATAATTGTAATATAACTATGAAGGCAGTTTTACCGTCTACATGTAGTTGTGACATCTAAGGAGTTGGAAGGATTTTAGGCACCAAATGATACAGCAAAGGCCAGTGATGCAAGAAAGATGGCCCATGTTGTTAAATACAAAATACCTTATTTATCAGAAGAAAGAAGCTTTTTTCTTTGGTCTGCTGCATATAGCCTTTATGGAACATAAGGACATAGTGAAGCTGCTTGCAAGCATTGAGGTGTGAAAAACAGCTCAGATGCTGGCAGTCCCTGGTTTTTGTCTTGGAGAACAGAAGCTAAGAAAAAAACCATTCTCGCTGTCCTTTTTTTCTGAATGTCAAACACCCTATGTGTGGATCTCAGCCTGTTATAAACCTTTGACATCCATAACAGCCTGTGGTAAAGAATTTCACAGCTTGACTATGTGTTGTGTAGAGAAGTATCTGTGAAACCACCACATGATCGTTTCATTTGCTATCCCTGAATTCTTGTATCAAAAGAGAAAATGAGCACAAGTCCTGTTTTCCATGTTACTTACAGGTGTCTGTCATAGCCTCCTTCAACTGTCTGTTTTCCAAGTTGAGTATATCTAGTTGTCTTAAATTTTCCCTGTTTGGAAGCCATAAAAAGATCACCTTGCTACCTTCCCTGTACCTTTTCCAGCACCTTCCCGCTCATGAGGTGGTAGGTCAGAAATGTGCATGCTATTCGAGATATTTCATTATGTTCTCTGTTTCCACATCTATTTAATTCCTAACAGTGTTTCTTCTCAGACAACTGCTGAACACTAAACTGGAACATTCACAGAAAGTTTATATGATAATCCCAAAATTTTATTCCTGATTAGTACTAGACTGCTGAGGTCCATCATATATACATTTAATACTGGATTATTTTTTTTTTCTAAAATGACTCACTTTGCATCTCTCTAGATTGAATTTCATCTTCTGTGTTACCACCCAGTCATCTAGTACCATGAGGTCGTTTTGCAAAACTTCATTAGTTCTTTTATTTAATACTCAGAATAACTTGGTCAAAGATGTGTAAAGAAGTGAATAAAGAGTTAATGCAGTTACTGTGACCACTGGGAAATTTCTGGCTCATGGCTTTCTCGCAATTTCCTGCCGATTTGTTCCCGAGATTGAAAAAAGTGATGCTAATCTATTTGTATCAGCTGAG